TTTCTCTAGTTTTATTTTTATTGTTATCTGAAGCTGTGGAAAATAACAGGCCTGTTAAAAAAATAGATTCGAGGCGGCAGTTAGAATTTTCCTTAGCTCAGTCAAGATATTCTTTTGTTTTTTCGTTGTGTTATGCATGCTTTAAATTTATTTCTAATAGTCAGTGTGCCATTGTTTGCTTGGAAGGTCCCGCTCTTTTTAGAAGCCTGTAAGATAATAGCCCCTTTCAATGTTACGATTGCACTAATTATAGCATACACTTATTTATGTACGGAAGTAAACTTAGGAAATTTTTGAAACTTTTCAGTAGTATCAATAGGTTTTTTTTTAATGAGACCTTTAGATTTTGCTCTTCAGACTATTGTAAAAGCATTCAGATTTAACAGACAAGTTTGCTTGGTTGAGAGTATTGTGAAATTATTTTAACTTTGTTTTTCTACGTTTTGTGAATGTAGGTCAATGGTAGCGATTCGAATTATGCATTGTGGCTCTCTCATGCAAAAGCTGGGAATCTCACAGAACGGAACACACAGGATAAGTTCCAGTATATGAACAGTGGGCAGCAGTTTACTACTGTCGATCGTGATAACGATCGTTTGAGGGACGGAAACTGTGCAATTTTTCGCGGATACGGGTATGCTTTTACAATCACTCATATTTTCCATTTCTATTGAGCTGTGGGATGATTTTTAAATTGCTTGTTTTTATAATATTCTTTTTTCAAGACACAGGAGATTCCTTACGTATGGTTTTTATTAACTGCTTAGCTGCCTTTTTAACAGTGGTCACGAACCATTACCGTAGGCATTTTTTAGCGGTTGGTGGCACAATGACTGTGGTTACGTTGCTCTTAATGGTCGTTATGATGATAGTGGCAAAAAAATGAAGCATCTTTTTTGGCATTATTCAAGGACTGTTCAGAGGGGAAAAGTTAAGCAAGTGGTTACGTATAATATAAAACCGAGGTATACAGAAATGAAACTTAGTATTTGATCTTTAAGGGTAAGTGCAGCTTTTTTTACTGTGATTCCGTTGCACGAGAATTAATAATTAAAAAATTGTTTGGGCGTATTGTTGTTCCGCTTCTATGATAGCCTGATAACTGTATAAGTTTAAATGTTCGCGTCTTGGTGCTCATGTTTTAGGATATTGGATACCCAAATTAGGCTGGTTCTTTTTGAGATATTGTGATTTTGTTGTAGTTTTTTGACAAGGAATATGAATGTTGAAGATTATTATGCTTGTGATATCGTCTTTTGTATCTCTTCAAACAAGACTGCTTTACTAGTAACTAGCAAAGATTTTCTAAAGTATATTTGTTGATAATCAAGCTCGGATTTTTTAGGTCTTTTTTGAGGAGTTCATTGTATGTAATTTTTTTATTGTACAGGTATCAATGGCAATCTTTCGTAACGCTTTAAATTAACTTGAATATTGCCTTATTTCTGATTCTAAGCCGTTTAGATGGATTTTTTCCATCCTTATTCTTGTAGAGAGTCCAGTTTCGTAGATACTTTTTTTTAGCTCCTGCTAGTGATTTTTCAGATGTTGATGATGTTTTCGATTTATTGCTAGCATTAGTCATTATTGTTTTGGAAACTTGATGCATTGAAATGAAGAGTTTATTGTTGTTGTTGCTCAATCCTTCCTGACGGTCCTGGTATTTACTGTGTTTGGTTTGCTTACTTGGAAGTTAAAGCTATTTTGTAACAGTGAGTGTGGTGCATTTGTTTTGTTGGATGAAGATAGTCAGGTGGCGTCTATCTAGATAATAATGAAACTTTCTGAACATTCCAAGTTTTGTTTTCCGCATTATTGCCAAGTTATGATCAGGGCGTACGGCTACTTTTGTTCTGATGCCGTTTTCGTTGTATGTGACGGTGCGTTACTTCTTCATGAAGTTTGGCATGTATTTTTCTTTTTTTACGGTATAATTGGGTTTTCAATTTTTGAAATCCAGCACGTGATTACCGACAGTTGTGCATTTATCGGGTAATCGCTGTTGCGTCTATCATGGTACGATTTTTTTAGGAACTGTTATAACGTATATTAATAACAGTTTTTGGCGTGGAGTGTTGTATTTTAGAGGTCATTTTACAGGAGTACAGATGTAGAGATGATATGTAATGACAGGTGCGGGAGTTTTTGTTCTGCTGTCTAGCTTCCTGAAAGCTCATTTTTATTGTATTCATATAGTAATTACAACGGTGAAGATTACTAAAGTTTGTCGGGTTTAGCACTGAGTCTTTTACTCTATTCTTTTCCTGTGCGATTGTTTCCTTGTAGAAATATGCATTGTTACAGTTAACGTTTTTATAACATTTATAATATGAAGTTCATTTAGATTTTTTTGCAACTGGGCGCATAGCGTTCACTCTTAATAACAGGCGGCGACTGTTTAACTTTCCTAATAAGGAAATGGCGATGAAATAAAGAACTAAGAATGGAGATCCTCTCATACTTGTTATCAGTACTTGTTTAGCGGAGAAAACCCTAAAAAAATGGTAAACTATTTCTGCTGCGGTAACTATTTTTATTTCATGATTGCCGCTCTTTTCGACCGGATTTCGTTCTTGGAGTATACCAGTATGCAGGACAGGGGCAAACAGATAGTAGCTTTGGAAGAGTTAAAACTGTCGTCAAAAGGTGCTTGTATTTACAGCTAAAATTACTTCTGAAGTAGACTGGATATTTTGATTTGCAGTGCTCCTGTGAAAGGGCTACACTGAAATGTTAAATTCCTGAATCAGTGGAAGTGTTGCAAACCCGAGCGGTGGATGCAGCCTTTTCCAAAGTTAATGAAATTTGTTAAATAACAGAAACTGACAAGATTCCAAAAAGATTTCTAGATTCTTATCATTCATTATTATTCCTGACTGACACTAACTGAAGGTAGAGGATTTTCTGCACTGTTGTGAAGGCATCCAAAAGAGCCGTTCAGTGGACAGCAAGATGTTTTGTAAACTATTTGTGATGATTTAAGTTTTTTTATATGTTGTTGCTTGAAGTTTATGGAAACTCTCTCTTCACTTTTTTCTTTGTTATAATCCCAGTGATTTTTTTCAACAGTATAATTTTCCAAATTTTAGAACCTTCGGTTTATCATCGGAAATTTGGTGTTTTTAGTGTTTTTAACTATGTGCACTTTTTTCTTAATACCGAT